GAGGTGTTTACTCCTTTTCTGGCCTAGGCTCTGGTCTATGAGTCTGGTCCACAAGCACTCTTTTCTGCCTTGGAAATGTGAAGAGGATTCTCTCTCTCCACTGCTGCCACAAGCTCTGCCACACCAGCGCTCCTCCTTGTTCCAGAACCACCACCCAGGCCTGCAACCCAGATCCAATCATGGGCAAAGCAAGAGAATCCTGTTTCAGCACCAGCAAAGAGATTCCCTGCAATCCTCCTCTAATCAACCACTCGATCCTCCATAGTCTGTGGGTTGAGACCTCTGGAAGCAGCCATCACCCTGGGGCTGTGCCAGAGCTGGGGCCAGGCCTTGCTGCTCTCTCCCTGAGTTCCAACAGACCTTTCCTACTGACCTTCTAAGTTGTCTTTGGTGTTTGTGGGTTGAGAAGTCTGGAAACTGCCACAGCTGCCAGTGATTCAGTCCCCTAAACTTTGCTCCTCTCCCGGCCTGGTGCAACAGACCTTTCCTGTCAACCATCCAGGTTGTCTTGAGCTGGAAATTTGTTTCACTCTGTCTTTTTGTGGGTTCTGCTATTCTAGAATTTGTTCAGAGTCATTTTTACAGGTATTTGGAGGGGTATGAGAGAGAGCTCAAGCAAGTCATTACTTTTACTCTGCCATCCTGGCCCTGCCCCCTAAGCCTCAGTTTCCTTATCTGTAAAATGGGAATTATACTACCAGCACTACTTCACAGGATGATTGTTTGAGGAAAGAACCTCATAAACCTTAAACCCCTAAAGAAATGGATGTTATTATGATGCTAGCAGAAGGATCAAGCAACAGTAGCCAAGATGGTGCTCTACAAATACATCTGTGCTCAGCCTGACATACCTTCAAGAGACACATTATAATTTTATCTTAGGTAACAGGGTTCTTTCAACCAGTATCCAAAGTATTTTCCCTAGCTGCTATCTTACAAATTCTATCTGCCACCTGTTCCTTGTTTGTAATACTCCTGAAAAATTTACTTACACAATTTTCTGGAGGGAAAAGGCTGTCAAATTCTTCTTCATAGGTTTCCAGAAGCCCAATAATTCTCAAGATTTTCCATTCTTCATCTATCTTCCAGAATTGTCACTTTCATCTGAACTGCTTTCCAATCTTTGTCCAGTTGAGTTATTTCGTAGGGTTATTTCTTTTGTGTTTTCACTACATCTTGTCATTCCATCAACTTCTTCAGGAATTTTATTTGGTAGTATTACATTATTTGGTAGTAATTTTAAAATTCTAAGCCTCTAAGAAAAAAATCCATTTAAACAAACAAGCTCCCAAATGATCATATATAAAACCATAAGCTCCAAATTATTCACGTTTTTTAAAGTATATATCAACAAAATAACAAAAATGTACTGTTTGCTTCCTCCTGATCTTTTTCTGTGTGCATTCAGATTTTCTGCCATAAACTTTTTTACGTCATCGTCAGTCTGAATAATGGAGTTTTAATTTTGTTTTCTTCTGTTGAGGAATTTCTGGCTTTTGATGATATCTTTTTCTTTAGAGGTTGCTGACTGGTCTTTTATTTATTTTTATTTTTATTTGTGAGGCAATTGGGGTTAAGTGACTTGCCCAGGGTCACACAGCTAGTAAGTGTCAAGTGTCTGGTCTGAGACCGGATTTGAACTCAGGTCCTTCTGACTCCAGGGCCGGTGCTCTATCCACTGTGCCACCTAGCTGCCCCTGACTGGTCTTTTAATTTTTTGAAATGTCTTTTCATTGGGTTAGAGCTTTTCTCTGACTTACTAATTTTTGATATAACTTATTTTTGGCATTTCCCAAGGCCTTCCTTTTTTTGTGCATGTGGCACGTCTGCTCTTTTTTGAGGGGGATATTGAGGAGGTGGGCTCTTTTGTGGCTTCTTACTCTAACATCTTCTTCCAGGATCTAAATGAGACCTTGGTGCTTTCAAGTGCTCTGGACAGTCTATATCCTCAACCCAGTGAGCACTGATAAACCACGAGACCACCTTCTGTGGCAGGGGAGTCTGTCTGGTTTCCCAATCAGTATTTCAATTTTGATGCACTGGAGATATCTCTGGCACATTGTAATATACAGGTTTTCCTTTCTGCTCTCTGTTAATCTATAATCTGAAAGAAGTTAGTTGGTGGTACTCAGGGTAAATGGAGAAGGAAAGGATAGCATGTGAAGGAAACAGCCAGGAAGTGAGAATGGATAGGGAAGAAGAATAGGGAGGGTAGAAAGGAAAATACCCACTGTTGTGGTTTGACAAATTTTTAGGCGTGTCATAGGCTGAAAAAGACTAGTGCAAAAGACATACGAATGGTTCTTACAGTAGTATTACTCAAGACTTACTAACAGTTCAGTAAAATACTTCTCATGCTTGGATAGATAGACTCACCAGAAAACAAGGGGGGAATTGCTGAGTCAGTAGACTGGAGGTGGTGTCATGGGCAAGTTACATGAAATTATGGGAAATACAAATTCCATAAGCTGGTTTTGCTCAATACTCCTCTACATTTTCTTCACCGGTCTTCAAAAAGGGCTTCAATGACCCGAATGGAGATGATCACTGTGAGCAGCTGTGGAGTGAGAGCGAAACAGCCCTGCTCTGCGACTCACAGGCTCAGGTTCCACCAAGCGAGGCTCTTGTTACACAGAGCATGAAAGTCTCCTACTCCCTCTAGGAAGTGCCCAGGTTACTCCTTTTCCATTAACAATTCAGTAAGTTATCCCCCAAGCAGGGGGATTTACCAGAACAGCTTCAGTGCCTACCTGCTCCTCTATCATGGGGGTTCCCTGCTCTTTCCTCACTTCCCTCGAACTTTCAGCATTGCCGAGAGCGGCGAGGCCCACAGGTGGGAAACAAAGAAGTCTGATGGCAAACAACATGAAGCCTGTTTTCAGACTTTTTTCAATGTATTAATCAGTTATGCTGTATTTTTTTCCTTTTCCTTTTTGTCTTACAAACATATTATTTGTTATACAGGATAGCTCTCCTTGAGAGGGGGAGAGGAAGGGATACTAGGGTATATTTTGTTAATGTAAAAATATATCGATAAAAGTTTATTAAAAAAAGAGAATGTGTGAGATATATTGTTTTCAGAGAAACCACTTTGAGACTCAGGAAGTTCATATTCTTTCTACCCCAAGTCTATGTGCCTTGGGTCAAACCTAAATAATTTTGATAATTGACTCTTGTGATCTGAAATCAATGTATAAATCTTTCCAAAGGGATACACCATAACCTGAACACCAACCCGAATCTACCTTCTAACTTTCAGCTTTGAAACAATAAGGCTCCTGTGCCCCATAAGGTAGTTGTGAGCTACCCTGGGATTTGTAAACAATGTATTCAAGAAATATCTTGGACTAAAACAGGTTCTATGAATTGTAGCATCCCAATTAGCACACAGCTCAAACAAATAATGCACTAGTGACTATTATGTTAATCCAAACACAAGCCCCACTAGTCTGCACAGGATCTGAAGACAAGCTACAGCCTCTGTCCTTTAATAGATAGAGCCGAACACCAAAATGTAGCAAAATGAAAGACTTTCTCTGCAATAATATTTTTAGCCCTCTACCGTGGGATCAGACCTCATTCTAAATCATTTCTATGTAACTGTCCCTAGCTTGCACCCCCCTGTGACCAACCTTCGGATAATGAGCCACTCCATATTTAGCAAATAGTCTGTTGCTAGGTCTATCCTCAAATTCTTTCTAGCCGGACTGGCCCTACCAAAGAGTTTGAACTCCATTGGCAGCGCACAGAGGTGACCCTAAGCTCCCACAGGTTAGAAGTACGTACCAGAGCAGAAACTGTGTGGAGGACTCACAATCTGTACTAGTGTAAGAAGTCCCTGATCAATGAGATCACAGATCTAAAGATTCAATACAACAAAAATACTTTGGCAAGCTACCCAAAACAGATGCCACGCCCTTGTTCCACTTACCAGCACCCACATCAGCTCACTAGCTCCCTAGTTCTTGCACAATCCCTACTATCTTATCTTTGTGATACAGTGGCCAGGTTGCTGCATTTAGGAGGACCTGGATTCAAAAGCTGGCTTTACCACTTACTACCGATGTAACTCCAGGTAAGCTGTTTTACCTGTCCGGGCCTCAGTTTTCTCATCCGTAAAATCGGGGGTTGGACTTTTAAGGTTCTAGGATCCCTTCCTTCCAGAGGGGCTTGGGATTTTCATAATATCTCTTGGCCTCTCAGCCATCATCATGCCCCCGTTAGTCATGGCTTCAGAGAGAAGGCTAGTTTTCCTTTGCCTTTGTGAAACAAGAGAAAGAAGCTCCAATAGTAACAGCATTAGCTCCTGGCCTTCCATTGATTTCTAAGTGGAAATGGGATGGCACTGATTTGTCAACCACTGAAGTGGAAGATACACAGTCAGGCAGCTGACCAAATTAGAAGGAGGAGGATTTGAAGTCACATGTCTGAAGATCTCAGGTCTACCACTTACTACCTGGGATCAGGGGCAAGTTACTCCTCTCCTTTCTTGGCTTCAATTTCTTCTGTGAAATGAGGGAGGTAGACTAGATGATCTGAGTTCCCTCCCAATTATAAATCTTATGATGCTTTTGTGGAAAGACCACTGGATCTTAACCCTGGCTCTGCCATGACTTCTGTGCAAGCTTAGGCAATTCACTTCCTCCCTCTAGACTTCAATTTCCTCTTTGTACAACAAGGCAGTTGGACCATGTCACAGAATCAGAGACTTGGAGTTGGATAGAACCTTGGACTGGATTATCTCGAGGGTCCATTCCAGGTCCAAAATTCTATGATATAAAGGCAATTCTTCCCAGCCCTTAGTTTTCTCATCTGTAAAGTGGATTATGTGAGGATTAAGTACCTCTTAATAATCAAGTGCAATACAACTGTGCTGAGAGTACACAAAATCTAACTTGTTCAGCATGACAAAAATCTATCCTCTAAAACGCATGAAGCTATACTCAAAAAGACTGAATGACTGTCAAACATCAAATATCTCAGATGACATCTGCGTTTACCTTTAGCCGCTGATTGAAAGCATCAAACAGTAGTTTGATTCCGTCCTGAGTCAGGTTAAGGATGAGGTCATGACTAAGAGGGGCCTGTAAGACAAAGAGAAAACAACATGAGGACTTACTCATCCACACAGGACTTATAAAGCACCTATTCTGTGTTTATACTCTACACTAGGAGCTGAAGGAAATACAAAAGCAGACAGTAGTCCCTGTCCTCAAGGAATCTCACAGACCAACAGGAGATTTGGAGACTAAGAAGTGGTTATACTTATATGAAACACTTTGTTTTCAACCAGCAGGGTTATTTCCACAACACTAGCTGGTAAGATATTTATGTACCTAACTTTCATAAAAGTGTATTTCATTTTGCTCAACTTATGCAGAAATGACACGTTTTTATTCTGACTTCACTGCTTTTGGTCAAATGCTACGAGGAAAGAAGCCATATGCAGACTCTTCTTGTTGCAATTGAAAACTGTTCTCTCTCTAAAGTTACCAATGTTCTCTCTTAACTGCCAAATCTAACAGTTTTTTCTCAGATCTTCAACATTCTTGAACTCCGTGCAGACTTTGACACTATCAGTCACCTTCTTCTCTTGGATACTCCCTCCTCTCTAAGTTTCATGACAATACTCTCCCCTGGTTCTCCTTCTACCTGTCTGACTGTTCATTCTCAATTCCCTTGGCTGAATCTTCATGCAGGTTACACTCACAAACGAGGTCTGTTCAGGGCCCTCTTTCTCCCACTATAGTATTTCATTTGCTGATGTCACCAGCTCCATGGATTCAATTATCATCTCAAGACTGATAACTCTTGGATGACTGAACCCATGATCTCTTCCCCTAAATCTTCCTTTCTTTCAAACTCCCCTCTTACTATTGAAGGTACCACCATCCTCCCAAGTCACTCAGGCTCAAAACCTAGGTATCATCCTGGACTCCTTCCTTCCTCCTTCCTCCTTCTCCATATCCAAAGAGTTGCCAAATATTGCCAATTCTATCAGGCACATATGCCCCCTTCCTTCCTTTCCCATTGCCACCCCCATGGTGCAGGCCCTCATCACCTTATACCTGAACTATTCAATAGCTTTCTGGTTGATCTCCCTACCTCAAGTCTCTCCCAATTATAGCCCACCCTCTACTCAGCTGCCAAAACGATCTTCCTAAAGTGCCGCTCTAACTATGTCACCTGCCTCCCACGTTCAATGAACTCCTGAAGCACTTCATTACCTTTAAGATCAAATACAAAATCCTGTTTGGCTTTTGAAGCCCTTGCCACTTTCCCAGTCTTCCTACACTCAGTCATATGACTTAGAGTCGTACATAGACTACATGGTCCAGTGACTCTGGCCTTCCTGCCGTTGCTCCATCTCTTTAGTCTGTGCCTTTTCACCAGCTGCCCCTCGTGCTAAGAAGGGTCTATATCCTGGTCCTCTTTTTTTGGGAGGGTCCTTATCAGAGCCCAGTCACCCACTCAAAAAGTGTTAACACATACTATGTGTGTTCTGCCCTCAGGGACCTACAACCTAGTAGGGAAGATCATGCAACTGTACACACACACACACACACACACACACACACACACACACACCCCCCCTCCCCCCCCCCCCCCCCCCCCTCCATCATAACACAAGATCCACTATGACAAAAGAGACACACAGGGGCAGCTAGGTAGCACAGTAGATAGAGCTCCGGCCTTGGAGTCAGGAGGACCTGAGTTCAAATTCGGCCTCAAACACTTGACACTAGCTGTGTGACCCTGGGCAAGTCACTCAACCCCACTTGCCTCATATATAAAGAGACACACAGTGCTTCAAATTTTCAAAGGAGAAAGAAATCACTTCTAATTTGAGAGGTAGGAAGAAGGCAGAATCAGAAAAGTTTTCATGAAGATATCAGTATTTGAGCCTGGTCTTGGTAAAATGAGGATAATATTTATACTACCTACCTCACAGGGCTGTGGTGCTGATGAGATCACAAGAAAAACACTGTAAGGAACTATACAAATGTGAGCTATTATGAAATGCTAGTAATGACAGAAAAGATTTGGAGGATACAAGTGAGGCAGGAGATTTCCAGGGGCAGGTATGAGCAAAGATAGAGAAATGGGAAAGCAAGTGATTTGTTTTGAGAACAGCAAGTAGTCCAAGTACAAATGTGAAGGGAAAAGGATGAAAAGACAGGCTGTGGAGGACCGTGAATGTCAGGTTATAGAAAATGACCTTATACTATGGGAAGCCCTTGAAGATTCCTAAGCAGGGGAATGACAGGATCAGAACTATGTATCAGGAAGAAGTGAACAGTGTGGTGTAGTGAGAAGAACACTGGATATGAAATCAGAAGATCTGAGTTTGCATCCCTGTTCTGCCTTTTACTGAGCATGTCATCTTGGCCAAGTCTTTACTTAAACGTCCTCCTTCATAGAATAAGAAAGTTCTACTAGAGGATTTCTAAGGTCCCCTCCAGGTCTAAAGTCTATGAACTTCTCATTGGATCTGAAGTCAAAAGTCTTGGCTTGAAATTTTGGCCCTGCAGATAGGAAAGTCATAACACCTTTCTGGACCTCATTGAGGGGACTGGATTAGGTGATTTCTAAGACTTCTACCAACTTTTTTTTATTATTATATTTGAATTTATTTTAAACTTAAATACAAAATAAGAAAAGAAAAAAACATTGCCACATACACAGCAGAACATAAGAGAGGATTCAATATATAGCAGTACAGTTCCATTTCAAGAAAACCTGTATAATAAATACTACATTGTTTTCAAAGCTCTTCATCTTTTCCTTCCTTCCTTGCATGTTTTCTTTTGTCCATTGCTGTGCATTTTTTACTTTTCCCCCATCTCTCCCCAAGAAAGTTAAAATTAAGCATGATATATTTATATATATAATATACATACACACATACACATATATACATATCCATAAACATACACACATATATATGAATGCATATATGTAAGACCATATCACACTTATTTCCATTTGTCATCTGTTTCTCTGTAGGTGGAGAACATCTTCATTTATAAGGCCAAGTCTTTCCATATATTTCTAAATCCACCAGCCCATCATTTCCTACACCACTACAATATTCTGACCCAATCATATGTATTTCCATTTGTCATCTGCTTCTCTGTAGGTGGAGAATATCTTCATTTATAAGGCCAAGTCTTTCCATATATTTCTAAATCCACCAGCTCATCATTTCCTACACCACTACAATATCCTGACCCAATCATATGTATCTGGGAGAATGTCTATGAGAGTTTTTTTTCCCAATTTTTTCCTAAATTCCCTCTATTCTTGGCTACACTGATTTTATTTATGCAGGAAAATTTTAATTTAAAATAATCAAAATTATCCATTTTATATCTCAATACTATTTTCACTTTATAATATGGTTTAAGGTCTGATAATACTGAATCTAGTTCCTTTGCATCTTTTTCCTCTGGTTTCCTTGAAATTCCTGACCCTCTGCTCTTCCAAATGAACCCTGTTATTATTTTTATTACCTCAGTAAGATAAATTTTTTAAATAATTTAGTTGGGATGGTGTTACATAAATAGATTAGTTTAGGTAAAATTGTAATTTTAAAAATTATATTAGCTTTACCTACCCATGCACAATAAATATTACTTCAATTATTTAGATCTAACTTTGTATAAAAGGTGTTTTGGGTTTATATTCATATAGTTATATTCATATAACTATTGATTAATATGACTGACATATGGTATAGTTTCCCTATTTTTCTCTTTTGATTAAATCTGATTTTAGTTCTAACTTTGAGATCATAATTACTATTCCTGCTTTTTTACATAATAAATTCTACTCCTGACCTTTATTTTGTTTGTGTATCTCTCATTTTTATAGCATTTCCTAAAAGCAACATATTGTTGAATTAAAAATTTTAATCTATCAGTTTCCATTTTATGGGTAAATTCATCCCATTCACATTCTAAACTATAATTACTTGTATATTTTCCCTCTTCCTGTTTTCCTCACTATCCTTCTCACCCTTTTCCTATCCCTCCTCACTCCTCTACTTTACTTCTACCCGCTACCTTGCTCTCCTATTCCTTAACCTATCCTCCCCACCAAGATTCCCTCCTATATCCTCTCCCCCCCCCTTATCCCTTTACCCTCTTATTCCTTCCTGTATTTAGAAGATTTTTGTACCCTTCTAAATATATATGTTGTTCCTTTTTTAGCCCATTCCCACTAATCTACACACCTTCTGTACCCCCCCTTATCCTATTCCCTATCCCTCCCTTCCTACCCCCTTGCCTTTCCATTTTTTTCTGAATTTAGAAGACTTTCATATCCTTCTAGATATTTATGTATTGTTCCCTCCTCAACCCATTCCCAATGAGAGTGGGGTTCCAAAACTACCTGCCCTCCTCCTCCATCTAATTCCTCTGTGCCAGTTCTTTCTCGTGCACCTCATGTGTATGAGATAATTACTCTTTGCCTTTTTCTACATATTTTTGCTTTTTAGAATCACATCATACTCATCTCTACCTCACTCTTTCTTTTGAACTACCCAATTACTAATGACAATACTGGACATATGGTTTACATTTCCACCTACAAAAAGTAAACAATTTGTCTTTATTGAGTCCCTTGTAATTAGTCTTTGATGTTTACCTTATATTTCTCTTGGATCCTGTTATGTCAAATTTTCTATTTAGTTCTGGACTTATTGCAATAAAATTCTGAAAGTCTGTCAATTCATTGAATTCCCATTTTTTTTTTTCATTCAAGATTATACTTAACTCTGCTGGGTATATTATTTTTGGCTGGAATCCCAGTTCTTTTACTCTTTGATATAGTTCTCTCTGGCCTGGAACCAAGACCAAGAACTTAGTTCTCCTGTAAGTACCCACAGCCAGCAGCATGCCCGCCCCACTGCTTCTGCACTCACCAGGCGTGTGCTGGCTCCTTCTTGCCATGCCCTTCTTGTCCAGCACAGTTGGACCTGGTGTCCCTCGTCAGCAGAGGCTCCTTCAATCTTCCCCCACTCAGATGCTCAACTCCCTACACTGCTTGGGAGGTGAAAATTCCTGTAGCTAAGGTGGAGGCT